TAAAGTTCGCCCTAGTGCGCTGCTCCTGAATGTGCTAACAATCTTCAGGCTATGCTGTTGGTCCGATTTTCCTGGCCCCGCTGCAAGAGATCCCCGCCATTGGTAGAACTCCAGTTTACATTTACACCCTTGCCATCTTTGTTGGCTGTCAGGCCCCGATCGCTCTATCAAACAATCTGAATGTCATCCTCGCCCTGCGGTTCTTGACCGGGTTTTTCGGTGGAACGGCGCTTGCGACGGGCGGAGCGTCTATGGCCGATATGTATACGATCCAGCAGCTTCCTTACGTGATGGGTGTATGGTGAGTTCTCCAGCGTCGTTCATCTAAGCTTGTTCTCCATGACTCACACATTTGGTAGGTCGCTCTTCGCCGTCGCTGGCCCCGTATCTGGTCCTATCGCCGGGGCCTTCGCGGCAGAGGTTAAAGGCTGGCGCTGGCCGATGTGGGAAATGCTGTGGCTCGGCGGCTTCTCCCTCATCGTCCTCGCCGTTGTCCTCCCGGAGACGTACGGGCCTGCTATTCTTCTCAAACGCGCGCATCGATTACGCAAGCTCACGGGCAGGAATGATCTCCATACGGCTGTCGAGCTGGCCCAGGCATCGCAGACCGCCGGGGCGATCCTTTTCGAGGCGTGTGTGCGTCCGTTCGTTCTGATGGCGGAACCGGTCTTGTTATTCGCCAACATTTATCTTGGCTTTGTTTGTTCGTCTCTCCTTGTTTCCCAGAAATGTCGACTAATTTTCTTTCGGCGTTTCCAGACTCATTGTTCTTCTTGTGGTTTGAATCCTTCCCAATCGTATTTTCTGGAATCTACCACTTCGACTTGGGCAAAAGCAGCTTGCCTTTCGCAGCGTATTATGTGACAGGAATAATCACTGTAGGTTCCTTGTCTTCTCGAATTCGTCGAGACTTATTCGTCCGCAGTATATTTTCTATGTCTGTTACCAGACGTATCACATCAAACCGCGATACATTGCCGCAGCCAAAGCCGGGAAAACGGTGCCCCCGGAGATCAGACTTGAGATCGGCCTCATGGCCAGTATCTTCATCCCTACCAGTATGCTCATCTTCGGCTACACCGCGAGGGAGGACATCCACTGGTCGGTCTTCTGCGGAATCTTATACAATCAATACTGACGGGATTCGTGCCCATAACAGGATCGTCCCAGTCATTGGCGCATCTCTTTACCTTCCGGGGATCTTCCTCACTTTCTTATCCATTCTCATTTACATCGCATCTTCTTACCACAACTATGCGGCCTCTGCATTGGCGGGCAACGATTTCTTCCGGTCTACGATGGCGAGTGTGTTCCCGTACGTCATCTGGTTTCTCTGGCAAAGGCATCCTTTTACCCCCACATTTCTTAGACTGTTCGGTACAATCTACTTCCAGAACCTCGGACTTGGAACCGGGGGGGCGGTACTAGCAGGCATTGCAGTTGCCCTCATTGCGGTATATTATGTGAGTTCCCGCTCGACTTTTAATCGTCTGGTGATTTACAGTGGTTTAGACGCTCTGGCGATTCGCGGGTCGCTTGCGTGCAAGATCTAAATACGCCGGTTCTCATTAACCGGTTAACGACCCCGAGATTCGCCTCGTTCAGAACATAACGACACCCCATACAAGACCTCATGTATCTAACATTTTCAATTCCATATTTAACGGTTGCTTCTCCATTGTTTGGACCATTTGTATCAGATATTCGTATGCAATACTTAGAGCTCCTTTTCTGCCCATAAATTTATAAATTAAAGCCTTACATTAATCCGACTTCACCAGGGTGCGATAGTTGAATTACCTACAGACCTTAGCTGTGCGTATGAGACGGAATTCTCGATAAATTCTAATGAGACCGGATTAGAATCCCCACGCGGCAAGAGCAGCACTCAGAGAGCTTTCTGCAACCCCTCGCTCGCTCGGCATGTCGTGAGTATTGCACCAAGGTTCTTGGCAAAAATACCAGCTGAAAAAGAATAAACGTAGCCCAAGTGCAGGAACAATGCGCTTACGGGCAGACTTTATCAATAAAATCGTATGTTTGGGCGGTCCCTTCATACCCTTGTAACGGTAACTGAACAAGCTCCTTCCATGCTTTGGCTGTCTGGCAACCCAGACTAGCCGATTCCGATATCAAGCACGGCCATCCATTGCTCTCAAGCAAATGAAGGGCCACGCCCTCTGGAGCGGGTTGTACGCAATCGTGCTTGCGAAAATCTTCCAGTCCATCCATGAATTCTTCCGGAAACGTGCCAATCCGAGCAAATTCAAAATCGAGCAGACCGGTTATGCGGTTTGTTTCAGGAGAGACGAGAAAATTACGACAGTCTATAATGTTTTCAGAAAGTCCGAGGTGCGTCGAGATCATTCACGCACTGAAATCTCCATGAACAAAAATGGGATCCGCGGCAATTTGACTGAGAACGGTGCGAAATCCTTCGCCGCTTTGAATGAACGAATCCAGTCGGCCTCGAAGGTCGTCAGGCTGATCTGAACCTTTCCAACCTTTCAGGTATGTATTTCCGTCGGCCGCGCGGAGTTTGTTGGAAAGCATCCAAAGCCATTGCTCCTCAGCAGATTTAAATGGCCCGCCCGCGGAGTCGGGGTGTATAGCTGTAGTTATACTCCCCGATGCGGAAAAACCTAAACCACCGAATGCACAATTCGACGATGTACAAGGCACAGGGATCGGGATAGACCTCATGGCCATTATAACATCCCGGATCTGACTGAGAATCGGGAGACGAGCAGGAAGGTCCAGCAGAGGCCATATCGTATCGAGAGGTATTCCTATGAGAGTTTTGTGGGTTGAAACTTCATCCAAGTCGAGCGATTCGAACCTGGGAGGAGATCCATGATGATATACGGAATTTCACCCGGTCCTCGACCTTCGCTCCAGCCATAAACCTTGGGTACACGAGTAACAGATGCTAATGGCTGGCGCACAAGCGCCAGTGCTGCGACTTCATTCTGTACTCTTTCTGGAATGGCCCCAAGTTCTGTTTTCAGCAGACGGACAACAAGACTCTGCGGAGTTGTAGCGTTGGCCAAGAATGGGACCGTGCCAGGTTGTCCATTGTGTGGCTTCGTTGCACTTTCTGCAACTGTAACTGAGTATAGATAATTGTTGTATCCTCTGTCGATAAAAATAATGTCATTCAGAGCCGCCTATCGCTCGATGTCAAAATGCAAAGACGCGTCGGAGAACATGACACACATGTATACCAAGATTTTCCTGTAATAACCGCTGCACGTTCACTTTCCGTTGCTCCAAGGAGATTTTCGAGGATTGCATGCTGAGTCCCGATTCAACCTGCGAGGCGATCAGTCACTGACTCGGAGCACTGGGAAGCGCTTCCGACGGGCGTAAAATAGCCGCGATACACGGCTTCAGATAGTAATCAGAGATTTGTTTGGCACTAGACAACGCCTTCCCTTCTGAACTCCTCCTATGATCTCAAAAGATTAATTTGATTGAAATAGATTTGCTTCGGTTTCTTCAGAGTCAAATCGGTCAAAGCCGACCAGATGCAAACACTGAAAGGAAGATGCCCTCAACCCCGAGCCCCTTGGTTCTTGAACATTTGGAACAGCCTGGTGGATCGTAGTGTAATACTCAAGTGACAGGGAAGAAAAATAATCTGCTGTGACGGAGGAGTGATGCGGTACTAGTACTGGCTCCAGCGAGCTTGGGTGATAGCGTGGGGGAGTCGCCGTAGGGCAGCCCGATTCAGGGGGTCAGAGGAACCTCGGATGTCGAGCCCGAGAGTGGGACGACCGTGACTGATACATAGCTCATGTTGCCTGACTAGCGCGATACAATCCTCGTGGCTGGGACTCGGTTCAACAGCGCATCCAAGCCGGATCGCGAGGCGTCGGAACGGGGTGCTGAGATCGACCCGCTTTTCCGAGAACCTCCGGCGGACAAGTAGACGCAGTTATCCACAACGAGCTCGGTAAGGGTAGCCTGGGTGAACTTTGAAGTTGGGGCGAAGGATACTGTTGGTGTTATCCGACTCTGACTCCAACTCGAGGTGGGTGAGGGCGGGGAAGGAGGCGAAAATTTTGGGGTAGCCACCCATGAAGGAGGGTACGGAGCAGAAAAGGTGTTGGATTAGTGGGGATTTTTGGCTGAGACACCGAAGTGCATTGGCTGTGTCAACAATGCTCAACATATGGCGGCAGGGCGAAATAACGGAGATCAGGCAACCAGAGATTCTCGAAGAGATCCTCCAGAGCATACAGATAGGAGGGATCCAGTATTACAAACTTTTGGACGAAAGCTAACATGAGAGCTTCCGAAATGCGTTCAACCAAGCCGCGGTGTCTTTTGTGAGAGTTCCCAAAGTGTGGATAAACTCACCGTCCACTGGCATGGGCCGTCAGCTGCGAGCACGGGCTTCAAGTTGACACGCCGCGGCCGCTTCGACGATTCGACTCGCGGATATGTAAGTACTTGCTGTCGCGGAAGCCGATGATGGCAAGAGATGGATGGCAAGGTCGAAGTCGTGTTGTTTACTATCAATAGCCTACCTTTGCAAAAATGTCTAGTTTTGCAAAAGAAAGTTAAATTCATTTGCGGCCCCATTTCTTCCTCAATTTTTTCAAAATGAAATGTTGGAAGGTTCTCCTGCTTCCCCTGTGTCGATTGAGATGGGTTGTAGTGCAAACAGACCCCGGGCGAGCTCAATGTAAATTCAAAACTTTTTTTGCAAAGCTATGTAATTTTGATGGCCACCTCGGCAGTCTCATCATGGCTTCAGTTCGCGCCCAAGCGTTCTGCTACTTCTCAGACCACAAATTTCTATTGTAAAGATGCTACTGGTGGATGCCGGGCAAAATCCGGCGAAATTTGAGGGCATACAATCACCATCAAAAACTTTTTGCAAAGGTAGGCAAACGATAGTACTGATTGATTTCGATCAATCTCAGTTTCAGGTTGCTATGTATAATAAATTAAATACAGCTTGTACCCACACCTGTACGTTGACTTGAAAAAACTCCCTCTTAGCTCAGTTGGTAGAGCGCGTCACTAGTATATCATTGCGGAATGACGAGGTCAGTCGTTCAAATCGGCTAGCGGGAATAATCACTTTCCATGTGCTATTTTTGTCTCCTCTATCTCCTCTATCTCCTGTAGTAGCCTAGCTCACTTCTGGCAATGATGAAATTTAAACCGCCGTACTCATGCTTTTCTTGATTTCTCCAGTACCGGATCTCAGTGCCCGCAGCCCTCAAGTCTGTACCAGCACTTCATGTCCATTCCTCTTTTGGTGCACGGATGGATCCAACTTGAAGTCAAAGAGTTTCCTTTGATTCAGGTAGGCTGGTATTACTCCAACTCTTCATTTCAGTGTGACTTGCGGGGTCCTGGCTTGGTTGGGGTCTCCAAGTCACCTCAGCTTGTATTTATAGGTGTCAGACGCTCAGGCTGCCGTGGCGCTTACAGCTTTAGCGGCGAAGGCGGGCCGATATTTTTTGTTTTTAAGTTTGCGGTCATCATGGGTTTGAAATGTCTCAGGCTGCGCCGAAAATGACTCATGGATTCCGAGCGGAAAATGCCCAAGGGAAATTCAACCACAGGTCCAAAACCGCTAGTTGCGTATTTTCATCCTGCAATGTCTTGTCTTGGATTCATATTGGACTAGATTGAGCCAAGACATCGAGCGTCAGGTGCTCTACCGCCAAGCAGTTGTTTGAGTAGGCTCCGGCTTTCGTGCGGAGATGCTTTAACTTTGCGGTGAGCCCGCTTGAGCAGGGGGCCGCAAGGCGGGAAATCGGCAAATTCCGACTTGCAGGAAAATTCAACCACATGTTGAAAACCATCGGGTTGCAATTTACCATGAACTGAACATAAGTACTTCAAGCTCTACACCCGGCGGTACATGGGCGGCAAACAGTTGAGCGACCGCCAATTCAAAGCCAGTTTCAAGCCTTGACGCCAGTGAATGACCACAGTCTCTTGGATTCGTATTGTTAGATTACATCAAGACATACCGGTCGTGCTTACGGTAGAGACGCGGTGAGAGGCTCTGGTGTGGAGATTCTTTATCTTTTCGGTGAGCGGTGCTCCGCCGGCGAGAATCCTTAATTTCAACCACATAGGCATGTTACCGCGAACTCAAGACGCCGTTGTGATCCTCCAAGTGTTCTGCGGTGGGAGGCAGCCCTCGCGAGCCTACGATCTGACGATTCAAAGCCAAGCCTTCAAGTTGGCGTCGGTGACTCACTGCTGTAACTGCCAGATATTCTCCCGCACATAACGGTCTTGGCGGCACGAAATAGACCACCGGCTTTCATCCGCTCCCAATCTTTCCATCCCAAGAGGCCTCTGCATAAAATCGTCAGTTGGCGAGTCGAATCTTTCAAAAAATTGAACCACAGGTTGAAAAAAAGTCAGGTTTGGCTGGAATCCAACCAAGTCTCCGCCCGACTCGGAGGATACTTGATTGCAAGAAAAGAAACCCTCTCAGGCACGTCTTGGCGGTGACTCACCACAACTGCCTGCCATTGACATCTTCCATCTGAACTTCAGATTTCAATAAAACACCGTTGTATACGGCATGCACGGTTTAATCCTACGACGGGAGCCTGTTTAAATCCTACGACGGGAGCGCTCAGCGCCGAGCGGGAGAGGGTGACGTTGGTCTCGTAGATAGGGTGCCGTACAGTTCCGTTATAATGGTTTCGTACAGCGCTGTAGCACAATCTCGTTAGCGTTATCAAGCCGTTCAAAATGGTCCCCGGCACCGGGCGGCGACGGCGTTCCAGTACTCAACCTGTAAATATCTTCGCACCGGCATTTAATGATTCCGAATGCGGACCCGGGGAGGAGACATCGGCGGTGGACGGAGGCGAGAGCAAGTGCAACGTTCGCAAATTTTGTCTCCTTGCCGATTTTTTTCTTTCTTTTTTCTTCAAGTTGGCTGTGGATGCGTCCAATTAGAAATCAGTGCGGAGGACTCACCACCAACACCACCCTTCGGATCATCCAATCCCGCCGGGAGAGTAATAAAAAAGGCGTCTCTTCTCTTCTCTTCGCAGCGCACGCACGCACGCACGTTTGTCTGTCTGTCTGTATAATGCAACCAATTGATCATGAGCTATTCAAACGTATGTATGCACCAGTGTATGTATATATGTCGTATGTATGTATGTACAGAAATCAAGTCAAGTATAGACGGTCGGACGCGGAACGCGGAAGGGATGTATGATAGACGTACTCAAGAACGCACGCAACTTGCGCCAGCATGTACAAGAATGAGAATGAGAATGAGAAAAGAAAAGGAAGAAAGGGACTCCATTGGCATTGGGAACGCGAGTAACTTGTACTTGTGTAGGAAGGGGACGTGGGATGTGGGGAGCTTGTGGGGAAGGGAACCGAAAGAAGGAGGAAACAAAATAGAAATTGAGAAGGACGCAAGACGAGATGAGACGAGAGGTAGGTAGCGTGGTGTAGCGTACTGTACATAGAGAAAGAAAAAAACCAGAACCGGAGGCGGCGGCGGCGTAAGACCCATAGAGAAATGAAATTGAAATAAAAAGGAGGCTAGGCTGCTGGCAGGCGTAGCGTAGCGTAGAGTAGGTGGTCGATGGGAGGGCTGTGAACCGAAGAGACGAAAACAAAAAGAGTAACGAGTCAGTACACACTCCTTCATCGAGAGACGGCAGAAAGAACGCACCACTAAAACGAATATAAACTACTCTTGGTTGGTCGGTTGTGCGTCGAGCACGAGCCTGCACGAGCACGGCATGGACTTGTGCGCGTGTAGTGCGTAGATTTGGGTGTGGGTGTGGGGTGTATATGCATATGCAATGGTATCGGTATCAATATCGGTATCAAACAGGAGCGGAGTGTCTTCTGTGTATTGGTGGAACTGTCCGAGCCACGACCCACTCGCACAAAGCGCGCGGAACGGAGCGGCCGCAGCGCCGCGAGTGGGGATTCGATAATAGGGGGGGGCGTGGCGTAATATATAGGTGGGGTGGGGCGTCCGTCAGCGTAAGGGTAGGTGTCCCCGTCCCCATCCTCGTCCTTAACTTTTGTTCTCCATCATCCATCATCATCGTCTTCGCGTGCCAGACGGGCCCGACGGACGAGGACGGGCCAGCGTGCGGCGGAAGACGGTGTGGTGTGGCGGCGGGGATGGGGACATAACACAGCAAGACGGGCGGGGTATCGACAGCGAGCGAGAGCAGAGGGATGGGACGGGACAATTTACAGTCTTTTGGGTGGGGGTGCTTTTGGTTGGTTGGTTCATTGGTGGTGGCTCGCGCTATTCGTCCGACGCTGCGCAGGACCCGACTCGAGAGCAGGCGGCGCCGCTACTCCTTGTGCCGACTAATCTTCTCCACCCCCGCCCCCAGCGCCGTGACCCTCCGCTTCTCCTCCTCCTCGTCTTCATCCTCCTCGTCCTCCTCGTCCTCTTCCTCCTCGTCATCGTCGTCCCCAGCGGCTGCCCGCGGCTCGTGATGCTTGTGCTTGTTCCCCTCGCCCACATCTTCCTCATCCTCATCCTCCGAATCCGAATCACTATCCGACTCCGAATCCGTCGCCGAACTCCCCGAACTCGACCCCGAGCTGATCTTCGGCGCCCCCGCCCCCGCTGCGTGCTCTCCCTGCCCTTCTCCTCCTTCTTTACTCGCCGCCGCGCCCTCGACAGACACCTCCCCGCCCCCACCACCCGCCACACTCCCACTCCGCGCATGCCCATGCCCATGCGAATGCGAGTGCGAATGCGAATGATGATGCCCCCGAAAGTGCGCCGGCAGATTAACCGCCCGCAGCACATGCTGCTCCCCGTCCGGCCCCTGCGCTGGCTGCTGCTGCGGCAGCGCCGCTGCGGAGGAGGAGTTCCCCGCAAACGGCGAGGCCGTGTACGGGTGCGCGGGCGTCCCGAGCGGCGTGCCCGACGCGGAGGCGGGCGCGGAGGTATAGGTATAGAGCGGCGCGGAGACGTGCAGAGGCGATGAAGCCGGGGCGGCGGCAGCCGGTGTCGCCGCCGGGGACGCGGAAAGCACCCCTCCGGGCGGCGACGCGGGCGAATCCGCCGTCGGCGTCGGCGTCCCGTCGTCCTCCTCCCTCCCCGCCGCTGCTGCTGCTGCTGCGTCCCCGTTCCCCTCCGTCTCCTTGGCCACCTGCGCGCGCACCGCCTCCTCCCGCTCCCGCTCCGCCTTCTCGCGCGCCTCCCGCTCGCGCGCCTCCCGCCGCCGCCTTACCCACCCCATCCCGCTCCCGTCGTCGTCGTCCTCCGCGTCGTTCGACGTCACCACGCCCATCCCCACCGCGGGCGGCGCATCCGCGCCTCCCCCGCCTTTGTTGGGGAAGGTCGCGCTGGTGGGTGTCTTGCCTGATGACGTGCCTGCAAAAAAAAAAAGAGTCAGTGATTTACTCAAAAAACAGCCAAGGGAGCAACAAAAAAAAATGACTCACCGCCCTGCACCCGCCCCCACGCCGCATGCCCCGCCGAGTTCCTTACGGAGCCCATCCCGCCATACCCCCACTCGACAAACTCGGGCTCCTCGTCGCGCGCCGTCGCAAACGGGTTGGTTTGCGTTCCTGTTTTGAGGGTGTTAGCATTTGTAGAGAGTAGAGAGCATATTGGGCGAGGGAAGGATGAAAAACGAAAAACGAAATATGCATATGCATATGCATATGAATGGGGAGGGCGGGAGGTCGGCGCGCGCCCCGCCCCGCGCCGTCGGAACCCAACACGCCCCGCCCAAACCCAAACCCAAATGAACGAAATGAACGCAAACAAGATAAGCGCGTCGTCGTCCACGTAGCCCACCCGCCCAATCTGCGCGATCTCTATCCCCGCGCATATGAATGCGAATGCATCAAGTGAATGAATGGATGCCAGCGGCCCGAGATCGAGATGAATTGAACGAACGAACGAACGAATGGGTTCCGCGCGCGCGCGCGCGATGGATGGACGCGGCGAGGGATCGAGACCAGCGGATGCAGGCACCCGAGGCACCCGAGGAGGTAGACGCCAGAACCAGCGCGGGCATGGTATCACAACACGCCCTAGTCCCTCCCTCCCGCGGCAAAGCCCGGCTCATTCTGTGCGAAGGAAGGCCAGC